ATGTGCTGTAACAAAAAGGACGCTGGGAATTGACAAAGGCATGAAAAGACTGAAATCAAGTCTTTGCCCGAATGCGAGCGTGGTGCTGAAATCCCGAACACATGCCGGCTCGGGATTGGGTGGCACGTGTTGCCCGGCGTTTTTTGAAACGGTGTTGCATGTGCGAGACTAAGGCATGTGTTTGTGTGTGTTCATTACATAGATATAGAATCCATGGCATAGATACATATTTTGTAACAAAAATGTACATGTATCGCTGTGCGTGCGGGTGAACGACGCATGATCTGACATGTGAGAATGCTGGACATCTTTCATGTGTTGAAGGACCCGTACGGCAGCCCAGGCAAAGTGAACAGTTGTCATGAAATATGTGAACCTGTTGTGGAATTGCTGTCGAAAGGAAGAGATCCGTATGCTCCTGGACGCAGGTTTGGTCAAGGCCAGTAATGTTAGTCACGTGTTATGCCCATTCCAACAATTTACGGGACCTCTCAGCGGAAAGCTGTTTCGGAATGTCATGCAAAGGTTCGTCGTGTGTCAGACCCAAAGCTGTTCCGGATCATGTCGCTGATTCCTCGGTTCAGTCTGAGCAGCCTTTCTTTCCGATAGGCAGTGTCATGATAGATGACAACGCATCATCTGCAATCGTTTGGCCGATGCATGTTGCCATCGGACACAGCTTCTTCGACAAAAGTATAAAAGTTAAGAAGAAGAAAAAGCTTTCAGCTTGTGAGGTTGTCTACTATACTCCATCAACTGCAGCTGCCACTTTGTTGTCAGTTCTTGTGACCTTTCCCCACTATTGTTTCGAAGCATGTTGGCCCGTTTCCGGGTATCCACGATGATACATGGAGCGGCCCCGACCGTGCATTTAGCATAGGGCCTTAAGTCCGAACTGATGTGCATGGTGGCGGAAGGGTGTGTGGTGCCATTCCGGTGTCCGTGTTACAATACAGCCAGGTCAGAATCCAGGACCACGAAACCAACCCAAACCTAGGAAGGCTCTATGACATTGCCCCGATTATTCGAACCAGCCCTTGCATGCCAGAGCATACTGTAGTGTAGCGATATTGATCACCACCTTTGGAAGTCAAGCCTCGACATGCCAGGTGATGGTTATCCGCGGCAACGCTCCCCAGGCAAAAACTGTCCATCCATAACTGGCTGCGACTATATTCTAGAGCTTCTGTCTGTCTTTTCCCCTGCAGGTCGATCTCGAGATGAGGAGCATTCAGGGAAAAAGGGGGGATGGGCATGACTGCCGGCAAGAAGCGTGGCGGGGGCGCGCCTTTGGTCCATAATGTACCTCACATAACCTCTTACTTTAACCTCCCGTCAGATACCTACTGGTTGGAGGTTAGAGGTTTCCGACCGTCAGATACTATCTGTCCCCGTCAGATACCGACCGGTTAGAAGTTAGAGGTTTCCACCCGTCAGATACTATCTGTCCCCGTCAGATACCGACTGGTTAGAGATTAGAGGTGTACTACCGCCACTCCACCCGTCACGTATCCGCTGCGCAGGGGTAGGGGTGTACTGTGTATCTAGTCCCCCCTCCCTCCCACTGGTCGGAGGTTAGAGGTTACCGTCCGTCACTCCGCCCGTCAGGTATCCGCCACGCAGGGATAGGGGTGGACTATGTATCCATTCCCCCGTCCATGCTGCTGGTCAGAGGTTAGAGGTTACTCCCTGTCGTCAAGTAGGGCTACTGGTCAGAGGTTAGAGGTTACCGCCCGTCAGATACTATCTGCCCGTCAGATATTCAGGGGGATTAGAGGTTAGAGGTTTCGGTGCGTTAGATGCTTACTATCTATCTATCTACCTACCCCCCCCCACCTCGGGTCCGCCCCTCCACCCGTCAGGCCGTCAGATACTATCTGCCCGTCAGATACCCAGGGGGATTAGAGGTTAGAGGATTCTGTTTGTCAGATACTGTCTATCTATCTATCTACCTGACCCCCCCCGCTCCGGTCCACCCTTTTGCGTGTCAGCAACTCCGCCTGTCAGGTACCCGCCTCGGGGGGATAGGGGTTACCCGGCGTACGCTCTGCTTTGGTCAGGAAGGCTTTGCCGGAAGCTTTGAAGGTCGAGGCCGGAACGTAATCACGGGATGATCGGGATAGGAGCTCATGTTCGTCCGCGTCAGGCAGACCTCCTTTGACCGGCGGTGGGATGCCAGACCGCATGGGCAATCTTGGTTGCGTGCTTACTGCAGTTCCTGGGGGTTTAGCAGTGAGGAATCGCAGAATTGCAGGACAGAACCTCAGACAACTAAATTGGGAGGAGGAGTCGCTCGCAGCTGAGGAACGGTCGCTTGTGTTTCTGCCTTCGAAATTCGCACGTTTGAGCTGAGGCTGGTCAAGCTCCAAAAGCTTGCCTCTCGGGGATTCGCAGAGTGCAATGGTGAAGAGCCATGTTCGGCCACCGAGAAACTTCTACGACGAGCACCCGGAAGTCGCATCGATGACTTCAGAGCAGGCCTGCATAGAGCAAGCAGAGCAAGTGCTGCATGGCTGCTCATTGCAATCTTCAGGTTGCAGCCGCTTTCAAGGCCAATCGGTGCCTGCGTGCTTGCAAGTCTTGCTTCACGTTGCAATGAAGGCGTTGAACGCAAATGTAGAAGGCCGTAAGCCACATCCCAGGCCTTTTCCATTGATATGCGTGTGTCTACCGGTGTTTGCCTGCGTTTCCCGGCATCTTGTCAGGCCGGTCATGTCGTTTGATCATCTCAGCCTGGCGGAGGATTTTCTGCAACCTGCCTTGTCCTCATGCATTGCAGTGGTGCAGGATCGTAGGCTTGCTGTTCCGTGCGTGCAGGTTCGCAGCTCATTCGACAGCCCAACACCTATACAGTCAATGGGCTTGAATCTTACTAGCGTGCCATGACCCCATTCTTGAAAATTCAATGCAGGATTCATGTTGGTTTCCAGGATGGCCCACTGCGCTATCTGGAAGAGATATGGTTGGGATTGCACAAACCGGCAGTGGTGAATCCGGCTCTTTGCTGTTGACGAGGAAGAGGAAGCATCATGGGACGAGACCCGCCCTTGTGCAGGCAAAACACTGGCCTACTTGCTGCCGGCATTAGTGCACATTGCTGCAACCGCCCAAGAATGGGGCCGGGGCCGGCGGCCGGGGTAGGGGAGCAGCAGCTCAAACCTTCTCCTTGAAAGTCTGCATCGCAGCACTCTTGCCTGAGGCCCAGCCTTCCTTGAGTCCAGGGGATGGTCCTGTTGGTCTAGTCCAAAGCCCAGCAAAGCACAGAGAGCGCAAGATGCGACTGTGCTGGTGAAATTCCAGTCGTCCAGCTGCAGCTGTTTGCGCTGGGGGGAGGTATTCTCATGGCTTTTCAGGGTTCGACTCGCGGTAGACAAAGGTGCAGCTGACAGGATGTAAGTACTGGAGACGTAGGTTCAAGCGTCCCGGCTGCCTTTTGTTTGTATTTGATTTTCTAGTGCCGAGTTTTTGCAGGTTCTCGAGTATCCCGAGTCAGTGTTCGGAGTCTTGCTTGTACTAGCATCGTTTTCTTGACCTCTCTTCTCGAATTCCTGCTCACACTATCTCTGCCCCGGCAGATGCGTCTTATGAAATGGTGCAAGCGTCGATGACAAAAGGCCAATGCCAACGGGATGAATCAAAGCTGATCTAACAACTTGGAGGTTTGTTGATTTCATGATAAGCCCAGCGTAATCTAGTCTTTGAGACAGGGTCCATCAAGGTGGAGGTCGATGTCCTGCGTGACAGGGAGAAGACCAGCACTGCCGTTTCCAGCCGCATAGACGACCTGAGCATAGCAGCCACTAAGCTTCGGGGAAGCTTCCGTCCACGCGAAACCTGCTATACACATGCCTGGAGTCACGCACTGTGCCGCTTGGCACAAGATTCGCCAGCCAATTGGTCTTTCATGGATACATGTCCTTCACCTGCGTGGAAGTTCGCATAGACGCACCCTACCTTAGGCATCTGCGACACGTTCCTGGATACATGTCCTTAACGCGTCGGCTTTCTAAAATCCAAGTCGCAGAGCAACTCTCATGACGCCTCAGGTCCTGGCTCCTACGCGTGAGCTGGCGAACCAGATTCATGCGGAGGCAATGACTATGACGCGCGCTTCTTCCGTGTCCAGTCTGTGCGACAAGCTCAACAGGTCTTTTGGCAACGGAGGGCCTACTTCTGTATTCCATTTCTTGCATTTTCGTGTTTTCAACACACAATGTGGTAACTTTGCATGTTCTTACATTCGGGTCAAGAGTGTGATTCTCTCCGGCCCAGTCTAGTTGTGTGGCCTCCGCTCGCGCAACGCTTTTTACTACTTTGTTTCGAGCTGCAGCCTGAGTTCGCCATCGGTCTGTCGGGAAGTGCCCAAATAGAGACTTGCGCTGCAGTGCAGTCAATTTAGCGACTCTAGCCTTAAACTAACACATGAACACACGGACACACGAACACACCAACGCAACAACACAACAACACACCAGCACACAAACAACAACAAACAAACAAGCAAGCAAGCAAGCAAACAAGCAAACAAACAAACAGACAGACCGAGACCGAGACCGAGACCGAGACCGAGACAGAGACAGAGACAGAGACAGAGGCATAGACATAGACAGAGAGACAAAAACAATCACAAACACACGAACAAACACAAACTGAAAAAGTACAAAGCGTCTGAAGTATGCACAAACAGAGCTCAACCCTGAAGTCAGCACAGCACTCTGAAGTCCTCTTTGTCACAGCCAGCCTTGAGCCACACGAAGTGTGGTGGTCGAAGTAAGCTGGAAGGAAGTTACTGTACCGGGGAGGTGCACAGAAGTCTTATATCTTAACACGCTCCCTTGAAACAAAGAAGTTCACGAAGTTGTTTCAACCAAAAGAAGCTGCTGCACGAAGTGCTAGGATCGAGCGAAGTTGGAAGTCCTCCAAGCATCGCAGAAGTGGCGCTTGCACAACAGCGCGAAGTGACTCCTTCGAAGTCACCAAAAGAAGTTAGGACCGAAGTCTCAGTAGCGTGCCCTCAGAAGTTGCACGGCAAGCTCACGACTCACCCACGAATCCGCCTCAGAAGTGTTCTCGAACCGGGCGAAGTCCGAAGTCCTCATCGGGATGTGCATGTAGCGGTTGAAGCCATGCGAAGTCTTCGACCAGGCGAGGTCAAAGAACTGTTGGAAGTTGCCCGGAAGACGAATCACCGCCAAGGAAGTGCGGAGGTGAGGTCGCAGCACGAAGTGCTCGCCGGGCACGTTGATGAAGTAGTCGATGTACCGCCGATTCCAGAAGCGGAAGCGGTTACCTTCCACGAAGTTCAATATCTCGCTCGAGGTCATCCTGAAGGACAGAAGTCCGATGCCTCCTTGAAGCACTCGGTTGGCTTCGGTTGGGGAAGTCTCCAACAGAAGCTGAAGTCCGAAGCACGCAAGCCACACCGCTGACCTCGGAGAAAATGCGAAGTTCAACATATCCGGGGAGAATGGCTGCATATCCGAAGTCAGGTGAAGTTCGCCATCTCCATCTCGTGACATGCGCGTGAGGATGAAGTTCAAGGAAGTGCAAAACCACAACCGGATCGAAGGCTCGGGAAGTACATCAACGAAGTTCGGGCCGATATAGCTTGCCTTGAAGTTGACGCAGAAGTCCGTCTCGTTGGCCACATAAGAAGTGCTCCGGGCGAAGAGCTCCGGAAACAGCGCCGCGGACTGAAGTGCCGTCACCACCGGGTTGTCCACGCCAGGTTGAAGTCGAAGTAGCGCGTAGACCAGCCTGAAGTCTGAAGTCCCAGGCAACAGAAGTTTGCTGATCTGGCGGCCCTGGCGAAGTGACTCCAAGAAGTCAGGGACATGCTCGTGAAGCACACATTGTCCACCGCGAAGTAGCTCATCCCAGCGAAGTGGCTCCAGCCGAGGTGATCTCGGCCATGCCCGAGAAGTCGAGCCGCTTCCTTGCCATAGAAGTGTACCCGAAGTACATCCACGGCCCTGTGAAGTTGCTGGAAGTGCGCCGGGTGAAGTCCGCAGACCGTCTCGAAGTTACCCGAGGCGTAGCGCAACTCCAGCCACGTGTTCTGAGGAAGTGCTCGAGTGGGAAGTCGCGGCGGAAGTTCATCTCTCTCGAAGTTCGGGTCCGGAACGTAGAACTGATGCTCCTCCACGAAGTTGCGGAAGTCCCTCGTCATTTCGGCCTCTTCCGAAGTCGAGGGTCCTGGCAGTGCTGCCGGAGGAAGTCCAAGAGCCACTGCCTTTGGCACCGGAACCTGAAGTTTGGGGGCCATCTTCTCGAAGTAGAAGCACACAAACCACTGAAGACGTCGATCGCAAAGAAGTCTGTACCAAAACCACGTCCCAACAGAAGTGGGCACAATCCGGTATGAAGTGAAAAATTCCATGTCCCAACCGAAGTGGGCACAATCCGGTGTGAAGTTCGCAAACCATCCATGCAGAAACGAATACCAAAGCGAAGTTGCCAAGAACCCAGCCAGAAGTAAGAAACCCAAGCAGAAGCCATGGCGGCAACGAAGTGAGGCACGAAGTCGCAGCCCAAAGGAGCGGCGGCGGCCATGAAGTCCTTGCAAAGGCGGCTCTGGGGCGAAGATCTGAAACACAGAGGACCTCACTGACCCTGAAGTTGAAAGGGGAGCTCTGCCTTTAAAGCAAACGAATTGAAGTGAAACATCTTTCTGCACAGCATCCTAGAAGTTAGAGCAGCCTACCAAAAGGGTAGCCTACACCTAAGGTTCCTAGATGCCTCTGAAGTACCTCACGTGAAACATACTTGGTCAACACATCAGCGGGGTTCGAAGTACCGGCAACTTTCTTCACTTGAAGTATGTTTTGTTGGACCAACTCTTGCATGAAAAGATAGCGAAGTTCGACATGCCGAGTTTTCTTCGAAACACCGAAGCGCGTCGACATGCTTTTTCCGGCCGAAGAATCTGTGAAAACGCGTATGTTCACGCGCGAAGTGATGTTCATTTCGATGAGAAGTGATTTTACGAAAAGGCTCTCCGAAGTGCCCAGGCCAATGCTGTAAAGCTCGGCCTCTCCAGACGAAGTCGCTATCGTCTGCTGTGTGCGGCTTTGCGAAGCAATTAAGCAACCGTTGAAGAACACAGACACACCCGAAGTACTCTTCCTCGTAGTGACACAACCTGCCCAATCACTATCTACATACGCTACCACATCAAGAGAAGTCATTTCCCGACGAAGCATGACCCTCGGCCGAAGTGTCAGGACGCAAGCCTTGCTCCCTGCAAGGTACCGAAGTAGCATCTTGACCTTGGCCTTGTGATCCTCTGTCGGGGAAGTTAATCCTCGAGACAGTTCCTTGACAGCGTACTGAATGTCAGGGCGAATGCTGCTAAGCCAGAGAAGTTGGCCTACCACTCGTCTGTACTTACGGTGCTCGACTGTATCCAAAGGCTCTTCGGATTCGATTTTCTTACGAAGTGAGTCGTTGCCGGGCACAGGGCTATGCCTACACTCCAAAAGAGCATATTCTTCTAGAATCTTGTCAACATACGAAGTAGGCATGGAAATCTCGATCGCATCTTCGCGTCGTGTGATGCATCTACCTAAGAAGTTGATACTCTCCCCCGGCTGAAGCGTCCCTTCCCGTCTCAAAAGAAGACGTTCCTGAAGTTTGGCAAACAGGTGCTCACACGGCTCCTTTGCACCGAAGAGAAGTACATCATCTACGTAGCAAAGAAGGTACACCTTGTACTCAGGATGGAAGTAGAGATTAGGATCGCTTTTAAGACGCTTGAAGCCGAGATCGGCCATCACGCTCGCGAAGTGGGTCTGCCATGCCTTCGGACTCTGTTTCAGTCCGTACATGGCTCTGCGAAGTTTCCATAGCACTCCACCGTTGGGGTAGAATTCACCCGGAGGGATCACAAAGATCTCTTCACTCAGAAGTGCGTGGAGAAACGCTGTGGACACATCGCCAGCAAGAACGAACCAGTTGAAAGTGCACGCAAGTGTAAGAAGAAGTTTGAGCGTAGCAAGCGAAGGTGTGCTGGCGAAAGTGTCGTCTGGGTCCTCGACGACTTGGTCGAAGCCTCTGACACACAGCCTGCAACGCACACCATCTCCCTTAGGGCGCTTAACCCATTTCGTGGAGATTGCGTCTCGAAGTTGCTCCTCGGAACACTCGCTCACAAGCTTTTCTTCGAACACATCGAAGTGCTGAAGAGATTCACGCTCTTTCTGCATGCCTTGAAGTTCTTGCTCCTTGTCAAACTCCGTGTCGTACCAGACAACAGGCTCACTTGCACGCAAGGCCTGAAGTTCTTCAGCACGGTCAACGTTAACCTCGACAGGAACTTCAAGACCGTCACGCGTGGTCACAGAAGCAACGCAAGAAGTGTCAACCAGGCGATCCTCAAGCACCGCAGAGATTCGCCGAAGTTTGGTCGCACTGTCCGGGACCTCCGCGGAGATCTCGCGCTTCTCTCCCTGCGACTGTTCCAGCCTGGCCCGAAGTTGCGAAGGCGCATCCTCTGGAGGTGCCTCTGCGCTGCGCTTACTTCCAGAAGTGCCGTCGGCACTGGAGCCGGCCGCGTCCTGCGCTCCCTGCGGGCTGCGGCAGGCGAAGCTTCAGACTGGGCTGGAAGAACGAAGTGAGCACTCTCCTCTTGGCGACCACGCGGGTCCCAAGGAGTCGCTTTCAACGAGTCAAGAAGCTCCTTGCTCACTTGATCCTCCGCAGGAAGTCTCCTGACGCTTCGTGTCTTGTACACGCCGTTTGCATTGCCGACAACATGCATGTCCGAAGTGGTTTCACGACCAAGCCACAACGCACGCTCCCAAGCAGGCTCAGCTTTAGGCACACGACCAGGAAGTCGGAACAAGACCACTTCTCCAAAGCGACAGACCGCAGAAGTGTACTTGCGGTCCCAGCGACGTTCGTAGGGCGTTTGCCCATCAGAACGAACAGAGAAGTTGTTCAACAAGAACTGTGCGTGCTTCACAAGCCACGGGAACACTGGCGAAGTGACAGGGATCTGGCAGTCGTACCTCTCTGCCAGGTCGAGTCGAAGTGCTCGTACCTGTGAGTAGAGAAATGCCTGCGCCTGTCCAACTGCACCTTGAGCCTGCTTCCACTCAGTAGGGCTGTTTCTCAACGACAAGCCACCTATTTCTGAAGTGACCGTCTCCGCTACAGCCTTGAGAGAAGGCTCTGGGTCGCACTGAAGTATGCCGAATGTCCGGCCAACGTCCTGCACGAAGCGACGAAGTTCCGCTTCTGCATAGACGGAGTGACCTTTATTCGGCACAACCACCGAGAGAGACAGCCTGTGATCACATCTCGCACGTTGAGAAGTGTAGCTTGGTTCTCTCCCTTGTCCGGCATGAAGGAGTAGTCGCATTGAAGCACGGGTTGCCTCATGCGAAGTTTCTTCGAGTGGTCCTGCCGGCTTTTGGCTTGAACACAGATCTTGCACCAGCTTCTGAAGGGAAGATGTGTGAGGTTGTGTTCTTCCCTTTCTTGTTCAGTTGGTGCCTTTGGTGCGCGAAGTGTCTTGGGCACTCTGGCGTCGGTGTCCTCACCAGCAACCGGAACGGGAAGTGGCTCAACGACCTCTTCCTCCGGCTTGGCGAAACACGTAGCTCCTGTGAAAGTGAAGCCAACCTCTCTCTTGGAGGCTTCGCTTTCGAAGTCCCAATTATCTTCGCGCCACTGGTCACCTTCCGAAGTGCACAAGCAAGTCATGCGCTCACGACCAAGCTGGGTGACATCAGGGCCACCTTGAAGTTCCTCCTCGTTGGGAACAAACAACGTGCTACGCGGAACGAAGTGGAAGCGAATCCACATCAACGGTGTGTCCAACCAGAAGTCATGTTCATACGGAAGGCCTGTGCTTGGATCTGGCTCTTGAAGTTGAGATGCCACAAAGCGTCTCACACTTGCCTCATTTCCATCCGAAGCTTCACGAAGGCTCTTCTGAAGATCAGACCTCTTCGGATACAGCGAAGTTTCTGGTCTGAAAGACTCTGTCGCAACAGGGGCGCGAGAAGTGCGCGCTTGCTCAACTGGAGGAGAAGCTTTCGGATCCTCGTGGGCCGGCGGAGTGAGAAGTGACCTCTTCTGAAGAAGTCTCGTCGGCGGGCGCTGGTTCGGAGGAGTTGTAAGTTTAAACTCCGTTCTTCCTTTCCAGAAGTGATCCAGCGCTCGCGTGGGCTCATCTGAAGTGACCCAGTTGTCCGTGAGCTCCTTCTCATTTCCTTGAGCATCAACCACGAAGGTTTTCCGCTCTTGAGCAAGCTTGTTCAGCGCCACTGGTCTATCTGAAGTGCCGCTTGGCACAAACAGATTTTTGCGAGGGCGCTTGTGATACCGCACAAGAACGTTTCTTGCGGGATCGAAGTGCCAACGATCAGCGTGGTAGTACACAGGCTTAAACGCTGACACCGTGCTCTCAGCCTCCGTTGCGAAGTTTTCGTGGAACGCAACACACACCAACTCGAAGTCGTGCTTGACAAAAGGAAGTATTTCCGGCTTCAAGAAAAGAAGTGAACCCTCACGCTCAACAGGAAGGTGCTTGCCATCTGGAGCGTGAAGTGTCAGCTCATCCTTTCCTAAAGTTGCGGTGTAGTTCTGGGCTAGAAGTCTTCCTACCGAAACGATAGGATAGCCAATGTCTGTGACATAGAAGTGCATGTGAAACTCAACATCACCTATCTTCATTCCTACAAGTCGTCTACCGTAGATGTTGAGGAGCTGCCCTGTTACACTGCGAAGTGGAGGCGCTCTGTCTTGGAGTGGAAGCAACGGCCACTCTCGGGCGAAGTTCTTGGGGCAGCAATGAGCTGCTGCACCGCTGTCAAACAAAATCCACTGCGGGCTCAAAGAAGTTACAGAAGCGACATGTTCCTCAAAGAACACATCCTTGAAAGAAGTGTTGAGGTGACTCAAACCCGAAGTGAAAAGTCCTGACCGGGTCCTTCGTCTTCGAAGTTCGGCATTGGCATCGTCGGGGCGATGCTGAACGAAGACCCTGAAGTTACACTACCTAGCGTAACCGCAGCAAGCAGAAGTCCTGAGGCTGTTGAGGCTTTCGGCTTGGGTGAGGCTTTGGCTTTCGAAGTTTTGTCGGGAAGTGAAAGGCCTGGAGGCTCACCGAAGGTAACAGCCGAAGCCTTGTTAGCCGAAGTTGCTGAAGTCTGCGTAGCTGCTGGTGGTACCGGCGCTTGGTTTGAAGTTTCGCTTGAGGTGGCTGGTTGGGAGGCTTGAGAGAAGGAAGTCGGGTCGTAAGCCCAAGGATCCTCATTCCAAGCAGAAGTCCACCACGATCCATCATCCCATGCATCAACCTGCCATGTGAAGTCATCAATTGCACCGATCCACGAAGCATCATCCCATGAGGCATCCCAGGCATCACCGAAGTCATGCCCTGCGTCATACTCTCCTGTCCAATCTGCATTCCAATCACCTGAAGTCTCATCTACCGCGGAAACACGATACTGATGCGGACACTCTCTCGAAGTGTGGCCAATTTGGCCGCACGTCCAACATGTGATTGCTCCCGTCTTTCCTGAACCCGAAGTTCCTTTCTTTCCATATCCTTCCTTTCCTCCTTTTCCTTTTCCTGATCCTTTGAAGTTTCCTTTCATTCCTTTTCCTGATTTCCCTTTTCCTTTCATGAAGTTCCAGTGGCCGAAACCACTCTTTCCTCCTTTCATTCCTTTGGGGCCGAAGCCCTTTCCTTTTCCTTTCTTTCCTTTGAAGTTTCCTTTGCCCCAACCTTTCAGGGCTCCTACATCCATCGGGGCTGGACCTTGAGAACTTGAAGCTGTGCCCTGAAGCATAAGCCTTGATCTGAAGTACGATACAATCACTTCTCTCATCTGCGCGTAGGTCCTGATCGAAGTCGAGTTCAACCTCAGGTGCTGCTGAAGTTGTCCTGAAGTCTTATTCAACAACGTAGCTATGAGAACTCCGTCGGGCAGCGAAGTGCCTGTGAGCGTCTCGTATCTGACCTTGACCGTCTCCCATGAAGTGAAGTCTTGCTCGAACGTATGCGTGTTGAATTTCCAATCAAGAACTTGTGCGAGAAGTGCGTGCTCGCGCTGCGCGTTGGGCATGCTGAATTTCTGTTGAAGTCTTCTCCAAGTTTCGAAGCCGTTTCCACCGACGTTCTGACGAACTACAAGTTTCGCGGCACCCGAAGTGAGATTTGCGAGGAGAACATGAAGTTTTCGACTGAAGCGAATGAGCTCGGCTGATCTGGCTTCCGGGAACCTGTCACCTCTGAAGTGTTCATCTATTACCTCTATGTTCGCATTTCCTGATCTCTCAAGAAGTTCAGCAATTGCAGGATCAAACAATGAAGCATAGATTGTGAAGTTCCACTGCCATTCTTCCCAGTCCTCAGGATTTCCACTAAAGACCGGCGGAAGTGGCAACCGAAGTTTGCCTGCGAACTCTCCTTCTAGCTCAGCTGCTGACATCTACGAAGTTTCCTACAAAGGCCTAGGAGCACGAAGCTCCGCTACCATGAAAAAGTACAAAGCGTCTGAAGTATGCACAAACAGAGCTCAACCCTGAAGTCAGCACAGCACTCTGAAGTCCTCTTTGTCACAGCCAGCCTTGAGCCACACGAAGTGTGGTGGTCGAAGTAAGCTGGAAGGAAGTTACTGTACCGGGGAGGTGCACAGAAGTCTTATATCTTAACACAAACGAACAAACACAACCAACAAACACACACGCAAGAAACAAACACAAGCAAATGCAAGCAAACAAACACAAACAAACAAAAACAAACATACAGACATGTGGAAGGGTGTTGGGGGCGATCCACAACTCGATTTGAGCAAAGAGTGCCTTCCAAGCCTTGGCAAGTTAAAACGAAGGAGACTTCGGATTCTGCTTGTCGTTGCAAAGTTGCAGTTGGACCGGTTGGTAGAGAAGTTTAATAGGACAAGGTAACGAGCCGGCAAATCGATGTCGACCTGGGAACGGTCGGTCCGCAGATTAACCTGAATAACATCTCAAGACTCAGGAACCCACCAAGGAAGAGACCATGCGTTAAGGGGCAATGCAGGAAGCAGATGTTGCCACTTCTCAGTCTTCGGATTCAAGTCCGCCTGCAGCTCGGGCTGGCAGATGTTCGTTTACTCTCACTTTGCGCAGGTCATGCGATTCACAGAAGGTTCCAGAATACGAAGCACAGCAGTCTTTGGGGGCGTCCCCAGATATGGACAGGCGGGTGCCTTTTTGAGTAGCTTGGGCCCAAGCGTGAGACTCTTTCAACCTTCCAGGCTGCTGACTTGAGACGAGGAGTAGAGATCCTCATTGCCACTCCCGGCCGGCTACTAGACTTTCTGGAGGAGAGAACATGTGTTGCAGAAAAGTCGCGGGCCAATGCCAATTTTTTTTTCTTGGAAGGCTGGCACTACGAATCTCAAACGAATAACGTATCTGACGCTTGATGAGGCAGCACGAGTGACCGGTTGCAGCATTTAGGTCATGAGTACCTGCGCTGCAACAGCGTTTGTTCCGGTTTGCTTGTCGGTCGGTCGGTCTGTCGTTCTGTCAGTCTGTCTGTCTGTTGTTGCAGACATGCACTCTGGTTTCCCACGGGCATGCAGGCGGACAGAATGCTCGATATGGGCTTTGAGCCACAGATTCGCAAAGTCAGGGCACCAGGTTGGAAACGCCGGTGACCCCGTGTTGTGGCTGCTGTGCTGGTCAGGTCGTTTCACAGATTCGACCCGACCGCCAGACGCTGATGTGGCGATCTGCTTATATAGTTTCAGCTGTGTATTGGCTACAACTTTCTGAGACCACGTGGCACGGTCTAGGGCGGCAGAGCCTCGTGTGCATGTTGCTCAGGTCAGCAACTTGGCCCAAAGAAATTCAGCGGCTGGCAAGAGATTTTTGCAGAGAGGCCTGCCCTCTACGCAGCTGACCGCGCACAAGTTTCAAGCAATGCCTCGCATCATCCGAACTGCATGTTTCATCATTTCGCATGGTTTGAAGCAGAGGCAGTCAGGCTTCAAGTTGAACTAGATTGCTGCAGATCAGGTTTGAAAGCGAAGCCACAGGAGTCATCAGGCTTCAAACTGAAACCACTTGCTCGGAGCATTAGAATCAGAATATTGTTCTTTCTCTCTAGAGCGAGCAAGGCCGGTTCTGAGGTATTGCCGAAACTACAGAAGACTCGCATCACACAGATCCTTCGAGCTGTGACTCATGAACAAAGCAAGTTTTGGAAATGGCTCTCACTCGGCTTAGTTTTCAGGATCCCATAAAGCTCACAATTGGGACCGAGGACTGCATTCAGTTTGTTCCCTGAAAACGGTGCCTGAGCTGTCTCAAGACCTCAAGACTGGCCGTGAAGAGATCTGATTCTGCAGGAACTCTCTCTGAACCCAAACATCACACAGCAGATTGAGGCAGAGTTTGCTTGAAAGAGTCACTGCAATCAACGGTCTTGAACATCTGTCTGGCCAGGTAGTGGGGGAGTATGACAAGCGGGACAGGTTTATGAGCTGGATCAAGAGCTTTGGGCCTAGCCAGGGTCCCTTGCACACCCCGAAACGAAACAGCTCGCCTCATCGATGCGAATCTACGCTGTTGGATGCCACCCGCATGACTTAGCGACTGCGAATGCCCTCATCGGGGCTCGATTTGCCGTCATGAATCGGACAAGACGAGAAGGATTGAGCTTCACTTTTCTTAGTGCAAACCGGCATAACATACGTTTCATGGTCCCACTGGGCATGGTAAAGAGAACGAGGGAAAGTTAAATCAGTAAGAAGGGAAAATAAGTATGGATACCATGGATTGATAGATAATGAGACTCACGTAGATATTCGAATAAGGAAGGGATTATGAGAGGCAAATAGAAATATAATTTTAGATAAGATAGCAATTATGCAGAGGAGGTCAGGACAGGCCAAGGGGTGGGAGCAGTCTCTCGTTTGATTAGGAGCTCTACTTAACTCGAGACTCGCCGCTGAGCACTTGAGATTCAATGGTGCCTTCCCACCCAAAACATAGTTATTCCCCCGGCCCGGCTTCATCTGCAGTGACTCAGCAGTACGTCAAGCAACGTGCTGCAATGGGTTGTCTGGCTGGCAGAGGTGTGGCAGCAGAAGAAGAGACCAAGGTGCTCGTATTCACAGAGTGGCTTGGCCCATTTAACCACGAGCCAGTGTAGGATGAAGAGGACTTGCTCAGATGTAATGCTGCGCACCTGGTGCTCATGCTCGCCAGAACGAAGCGTGGTGCCGACTCGCTGTGCCGCGAGTTGCAGTGCGCCAATGCATTCTGTTTCGGAAGATCGTCATACACATACATGTGTGGCAATGCATGAGGTACCAGAATTTGTCAGCCAACGCTATTCATGGTGACAAGGAATCATGCATAGTCAGTGGTTCGCGAATGTTTGCCCAGTAAGTTGGATGTTTGTTTCGTTGTGCAAGTCGAGAAACTCGGAATGGAGGAGCAACGACAACGGGACAAAACCCTGCATGATTTCAAGACAGGACGTCTGAAACTTACTTACTCTGCAGCCGGAGAGCTTTTGTCGTGACTTATTCAACTGTTAAGGCTGCAACATCCTCATCGCAACAGATGTTGCGCAACGGGGCCTTGACATCAAAGATGTCGCATTTGTTGTGAACTATGCCAGTTGCCCAGTTCAGTTGACAAGGCCTGCAGGCATTGCTTTCATTTCGAAGCTGGCGAGGATGTTCCGAAGACCCTCGAGGACTACATCCACAGAATTGGCCGAACAGCGCGCTTTGGGCTTACATTCCCGCCAGGCCACCCCCTTCCAAAAAAGCGGAGACTAAAACCATGGGTGTCCAGCGGGCCCAAGCAACACGACAAGCATGAGTGTCAAGCTGGGAAGAACGTCTGCACACGACTGTGCAACTTGCGTGCACCCCTCGGGGAGTAGCGATGGATTCCTCCAATTTCTGCTGATTCTGCTGCAGTTGTTCACATCGTTTGAAGGCGGCATGGTGTTCGGCACGGTGTCCCTGCAGACCACCATCCTTGTTAAACAAGTATCGAGTCTATTGTATTGTAATCAGAAGCCGAGTGCAAGAAGCAGCAGATCCCAAACATGTCGGCGACGCAATATGTGAATGACCGAACAGGTCCATTGCATGTACTGAATACAGAATCTGCCGAATCCAAAAGTGGAGCGAGCAAAATTTGTTTGAATTGCATTCAGCTTCCTTGGATTGGGGAAGGCCTTTGATAGCACTCAATATGCCAGGCTCCCTGGCCTTGACTTCAATAGTGGCTAATAAGAGGGTATTCGTTTCTCCACTGCCGCATGTGCACGGAGCGGACTTATAAGTCTCGCAAACGCGTTTTCCGAGCAGTACGGCCTACGATTGAACAGGCGCACGTTCGTTTTTCAGACAGCACTTTACTGCCTAAAGCCTGAGCGTCTACTTGGGAAACAACCTGAATGTCGTCATCAAGTCATCCAGCGAGTTGCTGATGTAAAGCAGACTTGGTTGAAGCTACACGTTACATGTTTATTGCACAGACCATGCAGCCAACAATTTTTGGTGCGTGATGCTGCTAAAAGAAACAAAGCGAGCCGGACATGTCATGTTTGCCATTGTTAGCAGAAGCCAGCGATCAGGATGCAACCTAGCTGAAGCCTTTTTTGGCTTTTGTCAGGCAGGTGTGTGAAAAGGGCCCGTGCGTAGGCCCC